GGTGTGGTAAAGATGCTCCTGGGGTTCTTCTGGTTTTTGCCCTGACTTGGGAGTAAGATCTGGAAGCTGCACGTAAAACTCAAATATTTGCCAGTGTTATCCAAGGTTTCAATGAGATATTGGAGCTTGTTGTGCACCTGGGAGTTGCAGATTAGAGGTTCTTTCACTAGATGCCTGTAGATGTCCAATCTCCCCTTTAGCATACTCATGTTCCCCTTGCTCTTCTTCTGGTTTGGCAGCCTGGTCCTCATAGTGGGTTAAGGAGCCTTATGTGAGGCATCCCTACCAATGCCCTGTCAGTGCAGTCACATCTGTGTACATTTTTCTCCTGTAGAAGGAGAGAAGCATTAAGATGAATCCATGAGCACCAGATCTGTATTGACAGCTACAGATAAAAGATGTCAACCTCCAGATATGTGATTGCCCCTGTACGTACCCAGTAAGAACGTGATACAAGAAGTTAGGTGTTAAAGGGTTCTGAATGAAAGATGGCTCAGTGTCATCAAAAACACCACAGTTGATGAAAGAAATAAAGCATTAATTGATGTGTATGCCCAAGATACCAGCATGATATTCGTCGCAAAGCCATTTTTGTGCTTTAACTCCATGCAAGAGTTTGTGGGAAAGCTACGTGTACTTTCTCTTGGTCGTAATGAAAAGTCAGTGAATAGATGTACAAGAGGCAGTACCACTGTAGCGCAAGTCGCCCTACATTGGTAGCTGCAATGAAGTGACAGATATTGATTGCTTATGAGGCAACTGATGGAGATAACAAGCACCAAACCTTGTGTGCAAGTCCTCTGCAGTTGCAATCTTGCAATGTTTACTCAATCACGAATGTAAGACTTGTCGAATAAACAGTGGTATATATCTTGGCAGAGAGCTGTAGATCATTCATTCTCTTGCAACATACAGCCAAGTTCTCTTGTTCCACTTTCACATTCCGACTTCCAAAGCCACCTCAGTCCAGGCTGCCTTCATTAGTCAGGATGGCCTCCTGTTGACATTGTTTGGGAAAAAAACTTCACTTCTCTTTTAGGCAGACTTCAGGAGAAATTTTAGGGAGTGATAGCTAATGTGTGGTGCTACCTTTTGCCTGGGGATAGGTGGAAATGATGAGCAAAGATTGAGGATGCTCCTGAGTGACAGAGTGTGAAATGCTATACTTTGGGCCATTCAGCCCTGTCAAGCCTTTTCCGCTATTCAGTGTGATCATGGTTGATTATCCAACTCAGTCCCATAGTTCAGAAGACCTGTCATACAAGATTCAAAGCAGTAACTGTTTATCTCTCCACAGATGCTGCTAGACCTGTTGAGCTTCTCCAGCATTCTCTGTGTTTGTTTCAGTACCCTATTCCCACTTTCTCCCAATAATTCTCGATGCCTTTAGCACCAAGAACTATATCCTATTCCTTCTTGAAAACATCAAATGTTTTGGCCTCAAACATTTTCTGTAGCAGAGAATCCCATCAGCTCTGCGCTCTCTAGGTGAGTAAATTTATTCTTATCTCAGTCATAAGTGGCCTACCCCATATCCTTAGACTGTGATCCCCTGTTCTGGACTTCTCAGTCATCAGGAACATCTTTCCTGCATTGTCAGAATTTTATAGGTTTCTGAGATTTTCTCCCCATTCTTCTAAACTCCAGTGAAGGTAGTGCTAACTGATGCAGTCTCCCTTCATTCCTGCCACCCTAGGAATCAATCTGGTAAACCTCCATTGCACTCCCTCTATAGCCAGGACATCCTTCCTCAGATAAGGAGGCCAAGGCTGACACAATACTTCAGATGTGATCTTATCAAGGCCCTATACAATTGCAGCAAGGCATCCCTATTCCTGTACTCAAACCTTCTTGCTATGAATGCCAACATTGTCTTTGCCTTCTTCACTCCTGTACTCTTACTTTCAGCAATTGTGTACAAGGACACCCAGTCCTCTCTCTTTCTCAATCTATCGCCATATATATAATAATCTACCTTCCTGTTTTTGCTACCAAAGTGGATAATCTCACATTTACCCCCATCATACTTCATCCGCCTTGCATTTGCCCATTCACTCAACCTGCCCAAATCACACTGAAGCATCTCTGCATCCTCCTCACAGTTCACCCTCCCATCCAGCTTTGTGTTATATGAAAGGGCAGGTTAAAAATTTGCCATTTTACCCACGCATGAATATGTAATAAGATGAGAATGTAATTGCACAAGTAAAACCAAGCTGCCCTTGAGTGGAAAAACCTCCTATTAGGGCCACCTCTACACTTCGTCTCAATAAGCTTCCGCCCATTAAGACAGTTACAAATAAAAGGGCTATAGTTTTCAGTTACACTTGCGAACCAAGTTATTCTTTCTATTGTGTGGCATATAAATGATATGTCAGTTTCACTCAAGGAGCTAGATTAAATAAAGTCTAATAACATCATTGCAAGTACTCAATCTAAACGTTTAGGGCTATGGGCAAATCTATGTCCGATCACCATCAAGAACTGTACCTGCACTTGTAGGATACAGTGCAACCTGGAATATGTAGTTTTCACACATAAAGCAGAAATATCTATGCCCTCCAAACATATACATGAACTAAATTTGGTGTCAATATAACCAAATAAACAAAGTCTGCTCAAATAATAAGTAACTGGATGACAAGTGAATGAGCACATGAAGGTGTGAAAAGAAATGTGAAGTACATCAACTTCTAATATAAGGAGAAATAATGACTAATAGTGAACTACAAGAGAGGAGTGATTATTTTTTAAAAATTCTTTAATGGATGTCAAAACCAACATTTATTGCACATCCTTTATTGCCTCTGAACTGAGTGTCCCAAAAGGATTAGCACGGGCCTCAGGTTACTGACCCTATGACATTACCATTGTTCTACACTTTCCGTCCAAGTGGAACAAAGTCATCTCTAAAGACACGCAATAAAATATTATCAAAAAATAATCTCAGAGTAGAAATTGACTATTGGTCACATAACCAATAAGCACAATCCATGTACACCTCAAGCAAAGAGACCCAAGACCCACTCAAAATCGGGATTCAACACCTGACAGACTTGCTGGTTCTAATATATGAAGAGACAGCTCACTGGTTTGACAATGGGAAGAGTATCAACAATGGTCTGCCAGTAGAATTCCTGCCACTCCTGACATCACTTTTCTTTAATGCTTTCATGGAACATGGGCATTACTGCCAAGGCCACTCTTGTTGCCCATCCCTAAATGCCCTTGAATTAAACTTCTGGCTAGGCCACCTTAGAGGGTAGCTAAAAGTAAACCACATTACAGCAGTTCTGGAATCATAGGTAGGTAAGGGCTGCATTTTCCTTTACCTAAAAGGACATTCATGAACCAAATGAGATTTTAAACAATACTTGATGATAGTTTCATGGTCTCTGTTACTGAGACTAGATTTCAATTCCAGATTTTATTAATGGAATTTAATTTCTAGTAGCTGCCAGTGTTGAATTTGAATGAATATTCTCAGGACATTAACCTGAACCTCTAGAATACTAGACATTAACACAATGCCACAGTTTGCCCCAAACTTGAAAAAGAAATTTTTCTAAAAATAGATTTAGGCAGCAAACACCTGCTGAGCTGCTTCAACAGCAGGAATATGTGAGCCTGTTGTACGTGACCCAATTTGGTGTTAGAATAGCGGTCTCCTTATTAATATATGCAACGGATCTAACACTTGTGTTAGCCAACAGGAGCACCTGAAAAAAACTGACAAGTTTAGCTGTGGTCTGAGCACGTCAGCAAATCAGTTGCTGCCGGTTGTACTGTTAAGTTACAGTCAGAGTTGCACCAGTCTTACACCAAAAACAAAGACACTCGCATACTAATTTTGATCCCTTTGCCTCATTTTGTATCCAATTCAATTTCTCCTGAAAGATGTAGACCACGTTGAACAGAAAAAAACTTTAGAGAAAGACTAATAACATTAAATATGAAATTGTAAAGTTAAAAAAAATTGATGAAAACACTTTCATATATACATTGCTCACTTCATTATAGCCTATGAATTTATTGTGGAACCATCTGAACATTCAGCATCTTGAAAACATTATAAATGGTTAGGAGAAAATAAAGAACTTTAGAAGGTCATTTACAAGTTGATGGAGTTGGCAGAGAGGTGGCAGATGAAGTTTATGGAGGAGAATGAGGAGAATATATCTTGGAGAGAATCCGGAAATAAAGGATTCAATTCTAAAAGGGACGCAGGTGCAGAGCAAACAGATATATATGTTCATAATCATTAAAAGGTGACAAGACAGGTTGAGAGAGCAGTTAATAAAGCAACTGTACCCTAGGCTTTATTAATAGGGCCACAGAGTGCAAGAGCAAGGACAGTATATTGAACTTACTTTAGATGGGGTTCAGCCTCACTGGAGGACTGCATCTAGTACTGGGCACTGTATTTTAGAACAGTTATGAAAGTATTAAACACAGTGCAGAACAGGTTTGCAAGAATAGTTCCAGGGATGACGAATTTTCATGATGAAGATGGACTGGGAAAGCTGAGACCGTTCTCCTGAAAGAACAGAAGGTTGAGAGGAAATCCGATTGTCCATATCTCTCAAGATTTAGGACCAAAAGTAAATAAGGAGAAAATGTTCCTGCTTGTGAAAAATGACTGGGCGCTGGTTTAAAGTAGTCAGTAAAAAAAAAGAAAAAAGGTGATATGAAGAAAATATATTTCATGTAGCAAGTGATTAGGATCCGGAATGCACTGCCTAAACGTGTGATGGGCACGTTCACTGCAGGCGTTCAACAGTCAATTTGTTAACTGAAAAGGAAGAATATGCAGGGTTACAGGTGAAGGCATAGGAAAGCATTAGGTCAGATGCGCATTTGGAGAGCCAGCGTAAACACGATGAGCTGAACGGCTACCTACTGTGCTTTAACAATTTGTGATCTGCATTCTGTACAATCAAATACTGCAACTTAAAATAATACTGCACCTATTCTATTAATGCACACTGGTTATGTCGTACCTTGCCACCTCCACCACGAACTGCTTTTATCATCACAGGATAACCAATTCTACTGGCTTCCTCCATTAAATGTTGATCAGATTGTTCATCACCATGGTAACCCTTAACGACAGGCACCCCAGCAGCTGACATTATGGCTTTCGAAGTGCTAGATAATAAAAAACATATAAAGGTAAATACAAATAAATTACTGTTCACAGACTTTCCTTTCTTTTTAAGAACTGTTCTAATCTCAGCAACCAAATTGTATAGGAATTGTTTATTAACGGCTTTGGAATGAAGAGCACTGGACAGAGCAGAATGGAAGTTCCAGCTCAAATTGTCTTTTTATTTCTTTGTTAATTTTTTTGTGTACATCCAGCTGTAGGATATTATGCTGGATAATGGAGTACTTCTCATTTCAGGCACATGTTATCAGTATTCAGCACTCTCAGGATGCAGGGAGACTGAAAAGCTGTCAGTCTACAATAACACCACACCCTTCAAATCAAATCTCAGAGAAGTACTCTTTCTACATCAGTAGGATATTTTGTTCCAACTCTCCCACTCCAATATACCGAGTTTTTTCCAAGACAGTTCAATACATTCTGGCCTGGATTTGGAACTAGGTTCCTGAAATTAAAATTCAGCATCTAACTCTCTATACCCACCCAGTTTATCAAACTTTCAGTTTAGTTTCACAACCTTGATATAAATCCAAACTACAGTGTTCCATTTTGGATGCAATGGGCTCCCTGCAAAATTGCTTCAGGGATCAAATGATTATCCATGGACAGCTCAAAAGGTATTCAATTTGTTAAGTTACCTATTTTCAGCAGCGCGGTTATTGGAACATAAAAATTGCTATGTAGAGAGTGTGATTTGTATATATTTCAAAATTATTCATTTTGGAATTTGGATTTTTGAATTTTAAACTAGTGACATACAGTGCAGTGTGTGCATCTGAAGGAGTTTAATGATTAACTTGCAAGTATTTCTGGTGATTTCTTTTAAAACACTTTAAAAGAGATAGCCTCCAAGAATTGATGAGTTTTTCTTTACATTGGGAGAGTTTACAAGTGAAAAAAGTACACAGTGGAGTACATAAGGCTTTCTGATGGAAGATTCTGGACTTTCTTTAAGTTTGGGCGGAAACACTCAATAGCTTAAAGAAACTTTTCAGCTATAGTTTCAGTTTAGGGTAGTTCTTAGCTGAAGATGATGATGTATAAAGCAACTGTACCCGTCAAAGGGAGAAGATAGTTTAGATTTTTTTAAAAATTACCTCAGAGTAATGAGGTTAGTAATAGGTCTAGACCAGAAATGTTTGGGTTAAACCCTAAAAGAGGCTATTAGAATCTGAGAAGATTTAAATTCAGGTGCATGAAGATTCCAGGAAGAGGCTATCAGATGCTCCAGACTGGGAGTTGAAGTGACAAGGTTTTTGAGAAGATTTGTAGCTCGGGGTGTTGATGAGTTTGTTGACTTGCTCACCAAGCTGGTAAGTTTATTTGCAGATGTTTCATCACCATACTAGATAACATAATTTGTGCGCCTCCTAGTCGAATTGATGTCCCTCTTTGTCCATGTGTATTGAAACAACATGACAACGTAGCCGTCTTAGGAGATGCCAACCAAAGACACGCACAAGAATTCCTGGAGGCCTAGCACTTGGGCCAGAGCTCCATTAACAAACATGTAGAGCTGGACCCCATATACCAACCATTAAGAAACAAATCCGGAAATGATGCCACCCACCCCAACAAACCAAGACACATAAATAGCAAGCGGGACTGAACACCGACGCTTCACCGGCGGTGCGCTGGTAGGTCACCTAGTACGGTGACAAAATGTCTGCAAACAAACTTACCAGCTCAGCGAGCAAGTCAACAAATGTAGTTGAAGTCACAGTTAAATTAAGCCTGCAGAGGTGATAGAGAAGGAGATTCTTTCTGGTGTGAATACTGCAAATGAGTGCATTTGAGATCTAAAAAGAAGTGTTTTTGTGATTAACAGAAATACGTTTTTACTGAGTGTTTAGAAAGCTTTAAACACGCATTTTATTTAAATGGCTTGGTTCATTCTACTTTATCTCCATTTCTTTTATTACATAAATTTTTTTACCATAAAGCCCAAATGTGCAATATGGCATACTTATATTTCAGTAAGAGACTGCCTTGTTGAAAAAAAAGCCCACAAAATATTATTTAGCAAGCCAGATTTCAGTCTGGGATCCGACTATTTTTAGAATTCAATCATGATATTTGGGTTTTATTGGTTAGGCCATCATCTATTATCCATCCCTAGCTGCTCAAAAAGCACAACCACATTGCTACGGGTCTGGAGTCACATTTGGCCAGACCAGGTAAAGATGGGGTACATGGAACATTCTTTGTTCCAGTCCTATTTCAGCCCCACCCACAACTCTTTCACTAGTATATCAATGATATTATTGGTGTTGCTTCTCTCTCTCATCCAGAATTTGAAAAGTTTATCGATTTTGCTTCCAATTCCCACCCTGCTCTCACTTTTACCTGGTCCATCTCTGACTCCTCCCTTTCCTTCCCTTCCCCAACATCTGTTTATAGGCTGGCCACCAATATCCACTATAAATTCATAGTTACATTGACCACACAATCTCAAACCCTGCTTCCTGTAAAGACCCTATTCCATTCTCCCAATTCTGCTATCTCCATTACATCGTTCTGATGATGCCAACTTTGACAAGGTAGCATCTGAAATGTCCACCTTCTTCCTCAACAGAGGATTCCTCAGCACCGTTTTTGACAGGGCCCTCAGCCAGGTTTGACCCATCTCAGGCACTTTGGCCCTCACCCCATTTCTTCCCTCCTGCAAAGTGCTGGGGACCCCTTGTCTTCACCTACAATTCCACCAGTGTCCATATCCAGAGGATCATTAGCTGGCATTTCTGCCACCTCCAGCGAGATGATAACCCCAGACACATATTCCCCTCCCCTCCCCTTGTCAGCCTTCCTCAGGGACCATTCTCTCTTGTCCATTCTTCCTTCATTCCCAACACCCACCCTGACAGCCTCACGGCACCTTACCCTGCAACCACCAAAGGTGTAACACATGTCTGTTTACTTCCTCTGTCCTCAGTAGCCAAGGGCCCAAACACCTTCCAGGTGAAGGAGCACTTTACTTGCACTTCTTGCAAACTAGTCTACTGCTTTCGCTGCTCACAATGTGGTATCCTCTACATTGGGGAAACAAAGCGTAGACTGGGTGACCGCTTTGCTTCCAGTTGCCTGCCACTTTAACACACCATCCTCTTCCCTTGTCAACATCTCCGTCTCAGGCTTGTTGCAGTCCTCCAGCAAAACTCAGCACAAGCTGGAAGAACAGCACCCCATTTTCTGCTTACGGACCCTGCAGCCTTCTGGACTCAATATCAAGTTCGATAACTTGAACTCTCCCATGTCCTTACCCTAACCCCCACACATCAGGCCTTGTTATCACAGTCTGCTATTACACACAACCCATTGTCAGCCACTAACAGTCCCCATTACTAGCTATTCACCCTCCTAGCCAGATCGTTGTCCCCTCCTTTATCTGCCCAGCTGCTCTTGTCTCTCTTTGGGCTCTACCCCTAGCTATCCTTACCCCCCCTCCCCCCCCCCTTCCTTTTCCACATAAACTGCCTAGCTACCATTAATTCTGAGGAAGGGTCACTCGAACCGAAACATTAACTTTGATTTCTCTCCACAGATGCTGCCAGACCTGCTGAGCTTTTCCAGCTATTTCTGTTTTTGCTTCTAGTAAAGACGGCAATTTCCCCCTTTAAGGAACATCGGTGAACCAGATGGGTTTTTCTGACAATGGACAATGATTTCATGATCATCATTAGAAACATATTTCCTGTTTCTTTTTATTGAATTCAAATTACACCATCTGTCACAGCAGGATTTGAACGCATACACCCTGATCATTACCTGGGACTCTGGATTAATAGTCCAGTCATAAGCTTAATACTACTCATTCTGAAAATGTAAACACATCTTATTCCCATGTCAAAATATGGTGTTCAATTTTTTTTCTAAAACAAACACCTTCATCTTGAGAAGACGGTTTAACAGCACAGAAGAATACAATTTTCTACTTTCTGCCATTTTATGTAATCACTATGTTAACAGCTACGTGTCAAACTCCACGGAACGGTACCTCATGTACTACTGATCTCCAATTACTATTTGGCCTCACAAATAAATGGGCTCTGCCACAGAAATTTCTCATGCTTAATGACAAGATGTTTACTAAATCTGAATCATCACTACTTTTTTACAAGTGACTTTCTATTTAATTTCTTATGTAATAAATGCTAACCTCAGATCAATCTATTACCTCTTGATGCCCATATCTCGAATGGCTGAAGAAGGAGGTCCAATAAAAATGATGCCCTCCTTTTTACATCGTTCTGCAAACTCTGTATTCTCAGAAAGGAATCCATAGCCTGGGTGGATGGCCTGCAAGAGATAAACCACAGAATGAATACTGTTGGGGGAGATGGCTCAACAGCGGAAGGTGCCAGCAGCCAGATTCATGGCATGTGGCTAGCTCCGCTGCACAGGAGTGCAGGAATTAAAAAAAAAAGAGTGGTACAGCTATAGTGATAGGGGATTCAATTGGAAGGGGAATAGATAGGCGTTTCTGTGGCTACAAAAATGAGTCTCGGGTGGTACGCTGCCTCCCTGGTGCAAGGGTCAAGGATGTCTGAGAGCGGCTGCAGGACATTCTTGGAGGGTGGTGGGGGGTTGTGAACAGCCAGCTGTTGTGTTGCAAATAGGCACCAACAATAGAGGTAAAAAACAGGATGAGGTCCTACAAGCTGAATTTAGGGAGTCAGGAGACAAACTAAAAAGTATAATCTCAAAGGTAGTAATCTCAGGCTTGCTACCACTGCCACGTGCTAGCCAGAGTAGGAATGGCAGGATAGCTAAGATGAATATGTGGCTTGAAGGATGGGGCAAGAGGGAAGGATTCAAATTCCTGGGACGTTGGAACCGGCTCTTGGGGATGTGAGACCAGTACAAGCTGGATGGTCTACACCTAAGCAGGGTGGAGTGCAGGTTCATAGTCCCTTGAAAGTGGAGTCGGAGGTAGATAGGATAGTGAAGAAGGTGCTTGGTATGCTTGCCTTTATTAGTCAATGCATTAAGTACAGGAGTTGGGAGGTCATGTTGAGGCTGTACAGGACATTGGTTAGGCCACTTCTGGAGTATTGCGTGCAATTCTGGTCACTCTGCTATAGGAAGGATGCTGTGAAACTAGAAAGGGTCCAGAAAAGATTTACGAGGATGTTGCCAAGATTGGAGTGTTTGAGCTAAATGAGATGCTGAATAGGCTGGGGCTATTTTCCCTGGAGTATTGGAGGCTGAGGGGTGACCATATAGAGGTTTATAAAATTATGAGGGGCATGGATAGGGTAAATAGGCAAGATCTTTTCCCCGGGGTGAGGGAGCCCAAAATTAAAAAGCATAGGTTTAAGGTGAGAGGGGAAAGATGTAAAAGAGACCTAACGGGAAATATTTTCAACTCAGAGGGTAGTGTGTACATGAAATCAGCTGCCAGAGGAAGTGGTGGAGGCTGGTACGATTACAACATTTAAAAGGCATCTGGATGGGTACATGAATAGGAAGGGTTTACAGGGATATGGGCCAAATGCTTGCAAATGGGACTAGATCTATTTAGGATATCTGCTCGGCATTGATGAGTTGGACTGAAGGGTCTGTTTCCATGCTGAATATCTCTATGACTGGAACCAAATTCCTAGAGGAAGTATTTGCTAGTGGTGTTGGGGAGGTTTTAAACTAATATGGCAGGGGGATGGGAACCAATGCAGGAAGTTGGAGAGAAGTAAAGTGGCGACAGAAACAAAGGACGGTATGGGGAAAAATGAAAGTGGAAGGCAGAGAAACCAAAGACAAAAATCAAAAAGGGGCCACATTTCACAACGATTCCAGAAGGTCAGTAAATATTTTTTAAAAAATGAGCCTGAAGGCTTCATGTCTCAATGCAAGGACCATGTGTAAAAAGGTGGATGAATTAACTGCGCAAACAGTTATTAATGGATATGATGTAACTGGGATCACAGAGACATGGCTCCAGGCGGACCAAAGATGGGAACTCAACATCCAGGGCTATTTTATTTTCAGTAAAGATAGATAGAAAGGAAAGGGAGGTGGGGTAGTGGTTAAGGAAGCAATTAACACATTAGCAAGGGAAGACATCAGCTTGGACGATGTAGAATCTGTATGGATGGAGCTGCGGAACACCAAAGGGAAAAAGATGTTGGTGGGAGTTATGTACAGACCACCAAACAGGAGTTGTGATATTGGGGAATGTACCAAACAGGAAATTAGAGATGCATGCAGCACAGGTACAGCTATTATTATGAGTGTCTTCAATCTACATATTGATTGGACTAACCAAACTGGTAGCAATGCGATGAAGGAGGATGTCCTGTAATGTATGAGGGATGGTTTCCTTGACCAACATGTTGAGGAATCAACTAGAGAGCAAACCATCCTAGACTGGTTATTGTGTAACAAGAGAGGATTAATTAACAACATGTGGTGCAAGATCCTTTGGGGAAGAGTGACCATAATATAGTAGAATTTTTCATTAAAATGGAGAGTGACACAATTAAATCTGAAACTAGGGTCCTGAACTTAGAGAAGGCTAACTTTGATGTTATGAGACATGCATTGGTTAGGATAAACTGGCCAAGGATACTTACGGGGTTGACGGTGAAAACGCAATGGCAGACATTTAAAGAACACAAGGATGAACTTCAACAATTATATAGCCCTGTCTGGCGTAAGAGTAAAACAGGGAAGGTGGCTCAACCATAGCTAACAAAGGAAACCAGGGACAGCGTTAACGCCAAACAGGAGGCGTATAAATTGGCTAGAAAAAGCAACAAACCCAAGGACTGGGAGAAATTTAAAACTCAGCAGAGGAGGACAAAGGGTTTAATTCGGAAAGGGAAAATAGTATGTGAAAGTAAGCTTGCGGAAAACATAAAAACTGACTGCAAAAGCTTCTATACATATGTGATGAGAAAAAGACTGGTGAAAACAAATGTAAGTCGATTGCGGTTAGAATCAGATGAATTCGTAATGGACAACAAAGAGATGTCAGACCGGCTGAACAATATACTTTGGATCTGTCTTCACTAAGGAGGACACACATAACTTTCAGGAAATGCTAGAGGACAGAGGGTCAAGCACGAAGGAGGAACTGAACAAAATCCTTATTCATCAGGAAATGGTACTGGGGAAACAGATGGGATTAAAACCTAATACGTCCCTCGGGCCTGATGCACTGCATCCGAGTACTTCAGGAAGTGGCACTAGAAATAGCGGATGCATTAGTGAACATTTTCCAGCATTCTGTAGACTCTAGAAGAGTTCTAATGGACTGGAGGGTCACTGATGTAACTCCACTCTTCAAAAAAGGAGCGAGCGAAAAAATGGGGAATTAGTGTGACATTGATGTTGAAGAAAATTCTGGAGTCAATCATTAAGGATGTAATAATTGAGCATTTGGAAAGTGGTGACAGAATTAGTCCTTGTCAGCGTGGATTCACTAAAGGGAAATTATACTTGACAAATCTGGAATTTTTTGAGATGTGACCAGCAGAGAAGACAATGGTGAATCAGCAGATTTGTGTATCTGGACTTGCAAAAGGCTTTTGACAAAGTTCCACATAAAAGATTAGCAAGGAAAATTAAAGCTCATGGTATCGGAGATAATGTATTGACATGGATAGAGAACTGGTTGGTAAACAGGGAGCAAAAAGAGTTGGAATAAAAGGGTCCTTTTCAGAGTGGTAGGCAGTAACAAGTGGGGTGCCACAGGGTTTAGTGTTGGGACCCCAGTTGTTCATAATATACATTAACAATTTGGTCAAAGGAATTGAATACCATATTTCTAAATTTGCAGATGACACTAAGCTGGGTGGCAGTGTGTGCTGTGAGGAGGATGCTAAGAGATGCTAAGCCTGTTTCGGCCACATTTGGAGTATTGTGTCCAGTTTCTGGTAGCCTCATTACAGGAAAGATGTGGAAGCATTGGAAAAGGGGCAGAGATTTTCCAGGATGTTGCCTGGAATGGAGGGAAGGCCTTACGAGGAAAGGTTGAGAGCGCTAGGGCTTTTCTCTTTAGAACGATGAAGGATGAGAGGTGACTTGATAGAGGTATACAAAATGATCAGAGGTATAGATAGAGTGGACAGCCAGAGACTTTTTCCTAGGGTGGAGGTAGCTATTACAAGGGGGCATAGTTTTAAAGTGAGTGGAGGTGGATAAAGGGGAGACGTCGGAGGTAGGTTCTTTACTCAGAGAGTGGTAGGGGCGTAGAATGCATTGCCGGAGAGGGTAGTGGAGTCGGCCTCATTAGGGGCATTTAAGCGGCTATTAGACAGGCATATGGATGATAGTATAACGTAGGGGTGGAGGTTAGATTGACCTTAGGCTTAGGGTAAAAGTTCAGCACAACATCGTGGGCTGAAGGGCCTGTACTGTTCTATGTTCTAGATTGCAGGGTGACTTTGACAGACTGGCTGAGTGGACAAATACTTGGCAAATGCAATATAATGTGGATAAATGTGAGGTTATCCACTTTGTACAAAAACAGGAAGGCAAATTATTAAGGGAACGGTGGCAGTTTAGAAAAAGGTGGGGTACAACAAGACCTGGGTGTCATGGTGGAACTGTCGCTGAAGGTTGGCACACTGGTGCAGCATGCAGTGAGGAAAGCTAATAGCGTGCTCTCTACATAGAGAGCGGATTTGAGTATCGGAGTAAGGATGTCTTGCTGCAGTTATAAAGAGCCTTGGCGAGGCCACACCTCAAGTATTATGTGCAGTTTGGTCTCCCAATCTGAGGAAGGACATTGTTGCTATTGAGGGAGTCCAGCAAAGGTTCACCAAACTGATTCCTGGGATGGTGGGACTGACACATGAGGAAAAACTGGATCAAATGGGTCTTTATTCACTGGAATTTAGAAGAATGAGGTGGGATCTCATAGAAACATACAAAATCCTGATGGGACTGGACAGGCTAGATGTGGGAAGAACATTCCCAATGTTGGGAAGTCCACAACACGGGATTACAGTCTAAGAATAAGGGATAAGCCATTCAGGATTGAAGAGGAGGAAGAATTTCTTCACTCAGTGTTGTGAAGCTGTGGAATTCTCTCCCACAGGAAGCTGTTAGGGCCAATTCACTAGATATATTCAAGACGGAGCTGGATGCGGCCCTTGCAGCTAAAGGGATCAAGGGGTATGGGAAGAGAGTGGGACTGGGATACAGAAATTGCACGATCAGCCATGATCGTATTGAATGGTGGTGTAGGCTCCAAGAGCCGAACGGCCTACTCCTGCACTTATTTTCTATGTTTCTAAAAACAACAAATCACAACAATAAAGCTGCATCAGGATTCAGCACTATACATTAATGTTTTTAAAAAAGTGAGAGACGCTTTTTAAGTACAAAATGAAAATGGAATATGAAGAACTAGATGAAAAGGGATCTTTTATACTTGGTAACTTATGAACTTAGTTGATACTTAAAGCTTATCTGAAAATCACATGCAATATCACCAATACCAAGGGATTATTAGGAACAGAAGGAGTCCATTGAGTCCCTTGAACGACTTTTCCCTCTCATTCAATCAGATCACAACTTAGTTGCACCTCAAATCCATTCATGCTTTTGTTCCATATCCACTCATACCATTATTCATTATTAATTGTCAGCTAAATTTCAACTGACTCAATAATGACAGCCTTTTGTGGCAATAAATTCTAAATTTTCACTAACCTCCATATAAAATCTGCTTCCTGGTTGGTTTAGCTCCAGTTTTAGGTCTATACTCTCTTATTCTGGATTCCTCCATCCAGAGGAAACAGCTTCTCTCCATCTACCCAATTCAATAATTGTAAGTTACCCCTCAACCTTCTAAACTAGAGCGGACACAGTATTACACATGTTGTGCTCATCCAGATGTAGTCCATTCCCTCAAAAAACTAAATTATGCAGAAAAAAAACAGTCATGCAGAATAAGCCCCTAAAATACTACCATAACTGACCAAAACTACAGGTGTCTTAAGTTTGAGTTCTTTTGCAAGTGGAATAAATCCAGTACAATACTGGCGTGAAATACATTTTTACAGAGTATGAATTTTAGTTTGTCATTAACAAAGATGGAAAACAGTAATAACAAGGTGTAGAGCTGGATGAACACAGCAGGCCAAGCAGCATCAGAGGAGCAGAAAAGCTGACGTTTTGGGTCTGGACCCGACACGTCAGCTTTCCTGCTCGGCCTGCTGTGTTTATCCAGATCTCCACCTTGTTATCTCAGATTCTCCAGCATCGGCAGTTCCTACTATCTCTAGAAAACAGTAATGTTAGTTTATACAGTAGTTCTATGATGCATTGTAAATCACATGTATTATATTGCAAAGACCCACGATTCATAGGATGACCAAGTTTAACATCTATTTGTCAATTTAATGGGGACTTCATCCTGCACTCAGTGTGGGATACCACTCAGACCTATGGAGGCAGATAGTTTTATTAATTATGATGTAGTACAAAGGTAGGCAACAGTGCAATTCTCACATCCTCAATTTGAATCACAAATCACAAAATGATTCAAAGAAATTACCTGGGCTGCTGCTGTTTTAGCTACCTGGATTATCTTTTCCACATTTAGGTAGCTCTGCTGGGAGGCTGCTGGTCCTATGTGGTAAGCTTCGTCAGCCTGATGAGTGAGAATGAATTAGTACACAATGGAATATCTAAAATAAACTTGAATCTTATAGTTTCTGTTATTTTGACTTCGCTAAACATATTGGAGCAACAATCTTCATGTCATCGCTCTCGGTGGTAAAATATTCTGGCAAAGGTATTTGCAACTGCTTTTAGAACAAAAGAGCTTTAACCAAGGATTCCCAAAATGATGTTTGATAAACAATGTGATCAAAACCAAGATTTAGCATGTCATCAAAGACAACACACAGCCATTAATAAGGATGAAGCAGGAGCAGATTATCCAGGCGAGGGACTCTTTATGTCTAAAGTATAGATACATTTTTTAGTAAAAGGTGGAAAATAACAAGTAAAAAATCCAGCCTGTGGTGCACAATAGTTAATACCTGAACTGCAAGTGCCAAAAACTATTAGCTATGCACAAAAGGAAGTGATTGTGGAGGTGCAAACAGCAGTAATAGATCAGCTGCTTGTTATACAATGCCATCTGACGTAGTGTCCATTGACTTCATGGTGCAATGTACACTTATTCATTCCCACCTGTCGTGACCCTCGTGTGAAGTTAAATTTAACCCCTGATTTACTTTAAAGCATAGGCATTATTCATTCTGATGAGAAAACAACATTACAGCATCAGATTAATCCATAAAAAGAATCAATATATAGATTGAAACATCATCACATGTGTGCTCTGGTATCATGCCATACCATTGTGACATGCATGGAATTTTTGTCTGCTTCACTGTACACAGCAACAGAACGAACACCCAACTTCTTTGCTGTCCGCATTACCCTGCAGGCAATCTCACCCCGATTCGCAATAAGAATTTTCTCGATTCTGCAAGTGCCTGTAAAAGAAATCAAGAATTTATTTAATTTTATACAAATAAACTGCTTATAATCATGAACAGACAGCAAATGTTGAGAAAATAAATCCATAAGCACTATTATGAGAAAGATAATCTTCCTTTCTGATTAGATTTTGGCTACCATAATGGTATTTTCCAGTATCTTGGTGTTCAAGAGGGATCACGAGTGACAAGATGTAAATCAGCTTATAAAACTCGTTCATAATAAATCATGTAATATTTGTCAAATAATTTTTATTTTAAAAAAATCAATAATATCTTGGTTGTAAACAATACAAACTCTGACTTCAGAACAGTAAAATGATGACCAAAGGAAAATAGTGTGGACACTAGAAATCTGAAGTAAAAACAAACAGAAATGCTACAGCTAATCAGTAGGTTCGGTAGCAAGCGTGGAACCCACCTCCTCAGACACCACCTGCCACACCTGTGGCAGAGCCTGCGGCTCCAGGATTAAACTATTCAGCCTTCATTAAACCCACCCCAAAATGGAAGGAAATCATCTTCATTCCTGAAGGATTGCCAAAGGAGGAGGAAAGAGAAAAACAACCAATATTTCTGTTTGTGACCCTTCGTTATGGCAACCAAGTGTCATAGAGTTGAAACGATACTTTTGTTTTCTTCACTGATACAGTCATACAACCTTATGAATTAAGAGAAGAAATAGGCGATTTGTCCCTGCCACTCGATAATATAATGGCTGATCTGTTGGTGCCTCAAATTTCTCATTACCATCTACCACTGAAGACCACCGATTCCATTGCCTAACATGAATCAGTCTACCATTGCCTTAAATGATTATACCTCTTAGGCAGAAAGTTCCAAAACTACACAAGCCTCAGAGGAAAACAAATTCTTCTCACCTCTCATTTTCCCTACTACCGAAGTTAAGCTAACTGGCCTATAGTTACCTGCTTTTTGTCTACTTCCTTTTTTAAACAGTGGCATCACATTGGCTGTTTTCCAATCTGCAGGAACCACCCCAGAGTCCAGTGAATTTTGGTAAATAATTACTAGTGCATTTGCTATTTCCCCCATCACCTCTTTTAGTACCCTGGGATGCATTTCATCAAAGCCAGGAGACTTGTCTACCTTTAGCCCCATTAGCTTGCCCAGCACTGCCTCCTTAGTGATAATGACAGTTTCTAGGTCCTCATCTGCTATAACCTTCTTGCCATTAGTTTTCGGCATGTTATTTGTGTCTTCCACTGTGAAGACCGACATGAAATAACTGCTTAATGTCTCGGCTATTTCCTCATTCCCAGTTATTAACTTGGCCTTCTCATCCTCTAAAGGACCAACGTTTACCTTCGCCACTCTTTTACGATTTACATATTTATAGAAACTTTTGCTGCCTGTTTTTATATTCTGAGCTAGTTTACTCCCATCTTCATCCTTTCTTAAATAAGGAGACCAAACCTATACACAGCACTCCCGATGTGATCTTGCCAACACTCTACAACTGAAGTATAACATTCTTTCTTATTATGTTCAGTTCTTCTTGCAATAAAAGATAGCATTCTATTAGCTTTCTTAATTACTCGCAAACTAGCCTTCTGTGTCTCATGTCCTTGAACATTTAGACCTCTCTGCACCTCAGAATTATGCAATTATTCTCCATTTAAGTGATACATTGGTAGGAAAAATGGAAAGAAAAAACAAAAAGTGAACAACTTCACATTTTCTTACATTATATTCCATCTGTCAGATTTTTGCCTGTTCACTCAACCTACCTATGTCAGTCTACAAAAATCGTTATGTCCTCCTTACAATATACATTCCTATCTATATATCATCTGTACTTTTAGCTACCATGGTTTTGCTCCCCTCATCTAAGTGATTGACAGAAATTGTAAACAAATACCTCTTCAAAACTAAAACAGAAATTGCTGGAAAAACTCAGCAGATCTGGCAGCATCTGTGGAGAGAAAGCAGAGTTAATGTTTTGGGTCAAGTGATCCTTCCTCTTCAGTTTCTGAAGAAGAGTCACCTGACCCGCAATTCTAATTTCTCTCCATAGACGTAGCTAGACTACTGGACTTTTCCAGCAATTTCTGTTTGTTTCTGATTTCCAGCATCTACAGTTCGTTAGGTTTTTTACCTCTTCAGAAGTCCTTTCTAGTACATTCTGTCAATCACACAAAGACTCATTTATGCATATTCACAGTTTTCAACAAGCGAGACAGCCAATCTTCTAAGATGTAAACCAACACTAAAAGCTCCTACTTT